CTCGGACTTCGGCTGTAGCGCCGCTGCGCCGCGCTCAGAGAGCGGTTTCCTGCCCTACTCCGCCGCGGTGCTTAGCAAGACCGCAGTGAGCCCGCCGGACCAGAGGGACGAGGCGCCGCTCACCAGATAACTACGTCGCCGCCGCCAGGGGGCTGCGCCTGCAGCTCTGCGTGTGCCCGGGAGCCCCCTGTGCGCCCCCTGAGTCCCTTACGCCCCTTGCGCCCTCTGCGCGTTGCCCGCTGCTACCGCTGCCGCCAGGGGGCGCCCCGGGGCACTGGAGGCCGAAAGGAACCTGCCCCAAATTGGGGGGAAGGAGCTGGCATGAAAGCCTGGTGGGCGTCCCCTCAAATTATTTCTATTTTTGTATTTGCCACCCCGCCATTTGCCCCACTGTCCCTTGTCGAAATCTGTTGTCTCCCCTCCACGACCCCACTTCCCGCTGTCCTGAGCTCTCGATCTCCCGGAAGACAATCCCCTCGCCCGCAAACCGTTCCTCGCATTCTCGGGCTTTGGCTGTGCGACCTCAGGCCGGGGTGACTCGGCTGAATCGCAGGGCCAGAGCAATGCAGAACGACAAAGAAGCGAGTCGAGTGGGACGGTGTGCACCAGAGCTGGAGGGCGGGGGAGTCACCCCGAGGTTTCTGCTGCTGCTTTTTCTCTTCTATCCTTCCTCTCTTTTCTTGAAACGAGTGTGGGAGAAAGTGGCACATTTTCTCTGTCTGAGCTTGTTAGGGGCCCTGTGCAAGGAGAGCGGGAGAATGGAGGTCATCTGAGGAGGAGGCCGGGAGAGCGTGGGCTCTGGGTGTGGGGGTGTGACTGTTCACTGCCTTCGGGAGCGAGACCGATAGGTCTGTGGTCGCTTTCCCTGGGAAGGACAAAGCACAGGTGGCGGTCGCGCCCGTCCCCCGAGTCCACCGTCATTCTCTTTTTTGGTCTTTGGTTTCGGTGCTAAGGGAATGAAAGCCTCTTGCATATTTTATGCAAAAAGTGATGGTTAATGAGGTGGCCCCAGCCAAGCCAGGGAAAGGAAGGAAAATGAAAGGAGGGGAGGCAGGATTGACAGACCCGCTGCAATACTTGGAGAGGCGTTTTTAGCTCAGTTTTCCAACTACTGGGTTCCACTCGATCTGGGAAATACTTGAATCTCTAGATATATATTATTCCGAAGCATTTCCTTAGACACTTTTCTAAGTTTGAACTTTCTATTCACTTCGCCCCCTTCCCTCGTCGCTTTCCTTTTCCTCGGGTAAAATGGTTCTTGGCATTATTTCTCACGCATGTCTACTGCGCCTTCGCCTCTGCAAAGCCACCGCTGGGTTGCTGAGACCCGCTCTGCCAACCCCAGCTACTGGAGGGGTTTCTTGAACTTGAAGAAAGGTACATCAAAACCCACCAGTGTTAACTGCCACGTCAATTTTGATGCTAATAATGTGCAGATTATGACGAAAATTGCCAATCATGCTCTCTGATGGACCTCCTTTGAATGTGGAATTGGAGAAAAGTTCCCCGCACGGAGACCTGCTGTCAAGTACTAACAACCCGCTAAGGGAAGTCATTAGGAGAGACGGATAAGAGACTCGGTACATAAAACATTGTTCTTGGTGCATAGAATGTATGTTATTTAATGTTATCTCTGTTACCTGAAGTGATTTCGCAGAAGAAAGCCACGTTCTTATCATCTCAATTGCCAATTTTCATTTTGGTAACTTGGACGCCCTGGGTAGACTTTTCTCTGTTAAGCTGATATTCCACCAATGTGAACAGCCTCATTAAATCAAGCCCAGATATTTCCATAATGCTCCCCGCAGAGCCACTTCGCTCCTCACATAATGAGATTTTCTGAAGAGTTGAAGCCCTAAAATAACTTGCTAGTGCATGTCTAGGCCCAGCGAAGTGGGTATGTGTGTGTGTATTAAAATGTAGGTATGCTACCTACACGTATGTGTGTATATATATGTATATGTATATGCATATATATTCATGCTCTCAAAAATACATATGTAAGAGATACACACATATTCTTATATACACATTGGCACTATTTTCTGTAATTATTTCAAATTTGTGTCCTGACATTTTCGTCATTTTAAAGACACTGGATTTTTAACACCTTGGTTTCCTAAAAATAGGCTTTTAGTTAACTCTTGAATAATTCATTTTACAAGATAAATTATTATTTTTATCAGTTAGGAGATGTTGCAAGAGAAAACTTTTGAAATTCCTGGGGTCTATTAAAATAGTTCCATAAAATATTAGGGAACTTCCCAATGAAAGAGCAGCGATCTGAAGTTCAACTTTTTGTTTCTTTTAAAAAAGAGATAAGACTACTTACACTAAACAATGATTACACCAGCTCTTATTCACTGAGTTTACATTTAAAAATTAATATATAATTTAAGGCTAAATAAAATGAACCAAAATATGGTACCCTTTTATCAGCTTTACCTTTGTAGATTGTTAAAGCTCTTTGTTATGATCAGCTATCAGATGTATATAAGGT